TTTGCCGCCCAAACTGGGGGAGGTACTATTCTCCACACACTGAGCCTGTCAGTCCGGCGGCCATCTTAAAGAGATAGACACTGCCTGATTTTCTGCTCCTGCTATTCCAACAAGCAATTGAAAAGCCTTACCCTTTTTCACTCAGTGGGACCAGGTTAGTGCCTTACACTTGGGGTTGGTTTAGCCAGTTGGTCTGCACCTTATTCTGGCCGGGGTGAGCCCCCATTTTACGCTGCTAAACGGTCCTGTTTATGCAGGTTCCGATCACCTGGGTGAGCCCCAGTGAATCAGCCCTCTCCTCTACGACCTACCGGTCTCTAACCACAGGTTATTTAGTCCTGATACCATACCACCCCGGTCCCCAGGCCTCTCCATTAATCGTGCCTAGTGCCCTCACGCAATTTACCGGGTGAGCCCCGAATCTTCACTCCTCATAATGGAGGAATCACAAACCCCAGACCTCCAGGCCATGATAACAGCAGCCGTGGCTGCAGCCATGGAACAAGCCGCTTCCAAGTCGCTCCAAACAAACCCTGAGGTTCCCAGGCCCACCTCTAAACGGGTTCATTATAAGGCGGACTCCGAAGACTCTGACTCTTCCAGGGAACACTCCCAACAGCGAAAACGCCATTGGAAGGGCAATGTAACCCCACGCAAGGCTAAAGGGAAAGCCCCTGCTGATCGCAGGAAAGCCACGGTTCGTGCTACCCACGATGCCACACAACTTTCCTCAGGTAAGGAAGATGTAGAACCCACTCAGGCACTAGCTGTGCTGGATGAATGGCAGGCGGCAGCCTCTGACCAGGGGGACTCTGACAGGGATTCCACGGCCAACTCTGACCCTTACTTCATAAGGGAACAGGGTCTGGGTGAGCCCCAGGACTCCATGGCAACATCCATTGATAACCCACAGGAGGGCTCGGAGATTTTCCTCGACAATTCGGGCCTCCAAATGTTTGACCCAAGAAACATCCGGCACCCCCGTTCGGAAGAATGGTCTCCACCTGAGAATTTGGCAAGGTTTATGCACTTCTGGCTCAGAAAACCGCTAGACAAGGAGGTTAGAAACCGGATGAGATCCAAATGCCCTCGCCCTAGTCTACCGGACAAAGTGACGCACACCCCCGAGTTTGACCCGCTCATGACTACGTTCATGTCCCGAGGGGGTCGGGATC